TTCTATGATTCTATGATTCTATGATTCTATGATTCTATCTTCCACCAGACCAGGTTGCTCAAAGCCCCATCCAACCTGGCCTTGAACACTGCCAGGGAGGGGGCAGCCACAGCTTCTCTGGGCAACCTGGGCCAGGGCCTCACCACCCTCACGGGGAAGAATTTCTTCCTAATATCTAATCTAGATCTGCCCTCTTTTAGTTTACAGCCATTCCCCCTTGCCCTGTCACTGCACACCCTTGGTGTTTTGGAGCTATGGACTACTGGCACACCTGAGGATTTAGGAGGCTTTTTTAGCTCCCTTCCAACCATATCCACCTTTTAGTTGTACAGAGCAGGTGGCGATGGCTTACCTTGACCGTGCAGACTGTGGTTTGGGCAGTGCTGGTTGACATGATCCTATTCATCCATTGCTGCCCTAAAGACTTAAGAGTCAGAAATGCTCTGAGCACCTACGAGCTTCGCAGTGAGGAGGGAAAGGGAAGCGGCTGCCCTGAGCTCAGGGGATGGTAGAAAGCAGAGATGGTGGCTGGAGGGATGGTGCCTGCCTCCGGTGCTCGGTGCAGCTGCCCCGAGGGACCTCGTCCACCAGCCCCGGTATGGGTGGAAGGCTGGGCTGGCGGGACGCTCGCTCCTCTCTGTCCCACGGCGCCAAGCAGCAAGCCAAGCCGCTCAAGAGGGACTCGGGTGAGTGCCGGGACCGGTGTACTGTGGGACGGCGCCGTGGGAGGCATCAGTCCTGTGGTTCAGCATCCCATCAGCGGGCTGCTGCCCGTGCAGGCGACGCTGCGGTGGTGCCGCCTGCCCCGTGCCGAGCCCAGGGGGTCCCCAGCAGGGTCGTGCCATGGTGGGGGTTTTCTCCGTGTCTGTGGGCCAGCCCTAGGTGGGTTAAGCTTTTGGCCTGTGCAAGGGACAAAATTTCCTCTCTCCATCCCCAGGTTACCATGAAAACGGAGTGGTGAAAGCGGAGAACGGCACCTCACCGAGAACCAAGAAGCTGAAATCGCCGTAGAAGCAAAGGCTTGTCTCCTGGGGAGGTGGGCGAGATACCGGGACTAAGAAGCAGCCCCTCCTCCTGGTCCTCACCAGTGCCATCTTGAGTGGCTTGGAAACCAGTCATCTTCCCAAGGTGTCTCTCGCTCTCCTCCCTTCCTTTCTTGCTCTCTTGAACCATTTGCAATAAAACCAAAAAGGTCCCTTGCCCTGCTCCCTTCCCCTCGTAGGAGCCTTTTCCAACCCTCCTGGTTTTGCCTGCCTCTGTTTCATCGTAAATCAGCGTGCAATTTTTTTCTTTTCTATTTTAGTGTTTAGTTATTTTGGGTTATTGTTACAAACGCATCGTAGATGGTTCCAAATAATCCTTTTTTCTTCTACAGCATGTTCCTCCCCTCCCTTCACGGTGCTTCCCTGAGCCCCTGTGTCAGGGCCACGGCAGCTCGAAGGCACCACGTGTCTGTTACGGGAACAGGCTCCTGGGGGAATGCGCCGGGGCTCTGTGACCCGGAGGCCCAGGGGTGCTCTCGGGCGAGGGTTGCCTCTCCTGGGGCACTTCTGGCCAGTGCTTGGCGAGTGCTGCAGGATGGCGGTGCTGCAAATAGAGACCAGGGTCAGAGAGAGGAACCTCGGCCATGTCTTGTCTTGTGGTGGACCGCGAGTTAAGTGGGGTTTTTCTGACTCCTGGTTTTGAGCTAATTTTGGAGAGTTGGGCAGCAGAGAAGGGAGAGAATTCCCCTCTTCATATAGGACCCATCTACTAGCCTTTGCTTGACCCAGCTCTTCTGGTACAGCTGGGTCCCTCTTACCCTCTTGGCTGCAGGAGGTGAGCTGCCCCGTAGCTGGTCTGGATCTTCCAGCCCCCAGAGCTGGGCTCGGGGCTCTGCAGCTCGCAGTGCCTTGTTGTGGGGCAGCAGCACCCTCAGGTCCACGTGAAACCTTGAGTCCTGCCCCACTCTGAGCGCTGGCCTGGCTGCTGTCAGCCCAGGCCCTTTGCCAGCTTGTGTGTGCCTCGTGGACCTGGTGTTCTGATGGTTCATGACCACGTCCAGATGACAAACTGGCTTGCTGCAAAGGGTTTTGCATCAATGGGACTGTACCCCTCATGCTGTCACCTTAGCCTTCCTCATCCCTACCGTACCAATCCAGCCGTGCCATCGGCAGCCACCAGCTTCACTCTTTGTTTCCGAAGGATACAGAGCTTGTATCCACCCAAGGTGCTATCAAATGCAGGTCTTTTCCAAAAAACCCAGCCCCTTCATCCCTTTCTGAGCTGTGAATGAGATGACAGGGAAGGGGAAGGAAGCCGGGGCTGCAAGGAGCAGCTTGTATGTTAGGAAAAGCCTGACCTGTGACGCATAGCTGTTGGCAGATGGAGTTGTCTCAAATCTACCTCAGAGGCCATCTGTTGCTGCAGACCACTTCCCCCTCTCGCTCCTGCCCGCTGCCACCTGTACGAGCTGGCCGGAGATTCGTGGGAACCCAGATCCCACCGGCTCGGTCCCCTGCTGCCTCTTTGCTGGGGAGCACTATCTCCTGCCCAGGGTTTTGTGGGTCAGTGCCAGCTCGCCAAGCTTCTTTGGGGTGCCATGCACCAGCCCAGATTTGGTAGGTGTGCAGTAGACAGGCACCTCTCACCCCACGGCTCTCCTCCGGGGCAGTCTCTGTAGCTGGGCTTTGCTGTTGGTGCCTCTTGTGCAGCGAAGCCGGCTGTAGCTTTAGTTCTTCGCCGTGGCAGGAACAGGCGAGCGGCGTGCTCCCTCGGCTGAGCGAGAAGAGGGGCACAGGGGTGCTGGGGTGCTCTTCGATACACAAGCCAGGACTGAGGTCCACCTTCCTTGCGGGTGAGGGAAGCTCGTGGTCCTCGGTGTGCCTCATGCTCAGCCATTTGGGCAGCTGAACTCTGGCTCTCGCCGAGTGCAATTCTAGCTGGAGGCTGGCGCAGTCGTCCTTCGCATCATTCGTGTTTTGGGGAACGGGTGGCAGTCGGTTTTCTGCCCCTCTTTGAGTTTTTTTTCCCCCCTCTTTTTCTGTAGGTGTCTTTTCTCCCTTCCCCACCCCTCCTTGTTGAGCCCCAGCTAACGCTGAGCACCGGAGGGAGAAAATGTGCAGGGACACGAGGACAGTTGGTCAAATTCCAATGGTTCCTCCATCCCCACGACCTCCGAGTCCCAAACGAGGGTTGTCAGCAGGACTCTGGGAGAGGGATTCCCCCCTTTTTCGGGGGAACTGAGGAAGGAGACTTCGGAGCAGAGCCCTTGGTGGTATCTTGCACTTGCTCCCTGTAGCCCTTGCCGGGTAGATAATACACATTTTGACTTAAATGGAGGCAGCAACGGTACCTGCCGTGCAACATGAAGAGAGGGGTGAAAGAGCTTTATGTTAGGGAGGACGTGGGAAAGGTTTAGTCCAAGAGGTTTTTCCTTTCTCCTGCCTCTTCTCATCCCCAGCCATCCACTGCCACGTGCCCTCCACCCCGGACCCTCAGCCGCTCCCTTCTGCAAAGCCGGTGCCTCGCGGCAGCTGAGGTATGGACTCCGTTAACAGGTGACACATACAGTCCCCCAGAAAACTGGCTGCTGAATGATTCCTCCTCCTGCCTGCTTCGCTTCAGGCAGCTTTTCCACTTGCACAATCCTCATAAATCTTCATAAAGTAGCTGATTACGCTTTGTATCCCAAGTGCCTTATGTTGCCCCGTAGTCTCTCGTACGCTTGATCTGTGTACTGTATCGGTAGCTGAAAGCCCTCCTTCTTTACAATGTATGTACAACATATGCTACATTTATGTGTTTTTTGTTTTCTTTTTGATAGAGCTACCAGTAAAAGGGACAGTTTGTTTTGGAAGCATTTCCATGTGTTCTTTTTTTTTTATTATTTTTTTTGACCTATAGATGATGGGGCTTTTTTTGCCCTCCCTTATCTTTAGTCCTCAGAAATCCCCATCCTTCTCCTGTAACGCCCAAGTGTGGCAGGATCCCCGGGGTCTTTTGGTTTTGGGCTGAGCCTTTGTTGTAAGGCAATATGTTCTGTCATCCCAGAGGTCTGCGATCCCCCCTCCACTGGAGGGGATGCCACGGGCTGCTTCTGTCTCTGTCTTGAGTGCAAGCACCATCCCTTGGCTGCAAGCCTGCAGTCAGTGCTTCTACGTCCATGTCATTTCTCAGCAGACCGAGACTTCTCTTCAGCCCAAAGAGCTTTTTCTTTCCCAAAAGGAGTATTTTCATGGCAAGCCCTTAGCGGTCAGTCTTTCCTTGACCGCTCTGAGTACGAAGATGCTGAGAGCCCGCTTTCCTCGAGTGGATGCTCTTCTCACGCCCCATCTTGTCAAGCCTTGTGTCTTCTGCCAAAAAGATCCAACCCCAGAGCTCTTGTCCACCACAGTGCAGAAAGTGTTAGAGACTATGCAAAACTCCAAGTCTTTACTTTCAGCGTAACGCTGTTGCTTGCACCCTTGCTGCAGGCTTGAGACTGCTTTTGTAGTCTGTCCGCTAACCCACCTAAGAAGGTCGGGGATCGAGTAGTCTGTGATTTTTTTGGTGTGAAGCATAGTGTTTTTCTGCCCTAGCATAGAAGAGCTGTGAAATACCAGCAGTAGGTCTCTCCTTTTGTCTTAGATAGTTGGGGAATGGGCTTGGGAAGAGGAAAGGGCGGAGGAAGAACAGATGTAGCATTTCACATATAATTTTTGAGTGACTCATGTTATGGGGCATTACAGTTGCATTATTTTTTTGTTTGTTTGTTTAGGATTCTTTCTTCTTAATCATTATGTTTGGGTTAGTAGTAAAGGCAATAAGTTCCAGTTCTCCTGTAGGTCCCCTTACCCTTAACTCACCATTTTAAAATGTATTTTTGGTGGGCTTCCTGGTTGGAGGGAAGAACAACTACTCTCAGATGCCTCCCCCTTGCCTCCAAGTGACTCTTGGAGCCTGTAGCTACCCCGCCTTTGCTGCAGTCCGTGGGGGTTTACAGCAGCCTCAGCCTCTTGCCTTAGATGAAGTCTTGGTAGATGGCCCCCGACTTGCGTCAGTAGTAGATGGAGATTATGGGGTTTGATTTACAGGCTTCTGGTAAACTTCACGAGTGTGTAACAGATGGTTTGGCAGGCGTTATGCTCGAACTGGGAAGTATGTTACTTCGCCTTGGAGCTGCATGTGGGGTTTTGCTGGCAGCGGGGAAGAATGGCTGCTGCAAAAGCCAGGCAGAGGCACATAGTTTTTATTTGAATATGTTGAACTCGACGGACCAAACTTGAGCAAAGGAACTGGAGGAAAATTTCTCTTCTTCCAGATTTACGCTTTAGTGCAAATTTCTTGATTTTGGAGGGGGTGGGGGGAAGTAACAGTCTCTGATATTTTATCCCGTTTGTTTCATTCTTCCTGTCACTTTAGGTTTTGTACGGATTTTGTTTGTTGTTGTTTGTTGTTAAATGACTTTTGTGATAAACTCAACAAAAGTATTTTTCTGAAATAAATAAATAAATGAATAAAAGGCATCGATTCTTCCGTGGCTGCTGTCCACCGATGCGTTATCACTCTGCTACGCTGTACGCGTTGCCAAAGCAGCCTGCAGTGGGTTGTGCTTGCCTCTCTCCTGCCGTACCAGAGTGGTCTGTTCCCTTTGGTGCAGCACCTTGTGTCCTCGTATTCCCCGCAGCTGGGCTTCATCTTCTCACATTTCCCGTGTCTACAGCATGAGCAGCTGCTTCTGAGTTAGTTATCTGTGGCTGCCTTCACCGCTGGGAGTGGAGGATAAGAGCGTTTGTAGGATATGATTTATCTGATGTGGTTTAGGTGCATACTTTATGGTGAGCCAAATTGTATACTTTCTGCAGCTGGCCCCGGGCATGCTGCATGATTTGGCTGACTATTAGGTTACAGTTCCATAGCATGTGCAGAAAACAGTGTCTGACTTTCTTTTCTACAGCCTACAGCTCCAGTAATTTCATCTGTAAGTTCTTGGTCTCTGGAAAAGCTGATTAAGGTGGCCTTTAGAAGTTATCCTTCATCAGCTGCAGCTT